GAGAGAGAGAGAGAAAGTTGATATAAATGCAACCGTTGTATTATACTATGATGAAACTGTGAGGATTCTTTTGAATCAGATCACTTCTCAAAAGGAAGGTGAGAAAAAGTAAAATTGCATAATGTGTGAGGTAATTAAAATTTGTTACATAAATAAAAAATATAATTCCATCTTAAAGCAAAAATAGTGCTCAAAATTATAAATTTAATTTTGGTCATGAGGATTTTTTCTTAAAAAATATCACTAAAATCATTACTTATGAGTGACAAGTTTTTTCTTTTTAAATTTTTTTTTGGCATTTTGTTGTTTGAAATTAACTAAGTAATTATTTAATATTAGCTATAAAAATTTTTTAAAAAAATTTAAAAATTAAAATGAGAATTTATTTCTATTGTAGTTTTGAATAGTACAAGGTTTATTTATTGTAGTTTTGAATATTACAAGGTTTATTTAAGAGGTGAGACATTAAAAATTGTTGCATTAATATCAAAAAATTATCTTAAGTAAAAACACAGTTCACAAATTTATAAATTTAATTTTAGACATGAAAAATTCTTTCTTAAAATAACATTTCCAATTTATCATTTGAATGAAATTGTTTTTTCTAAAATCAAGTTTTTTTCCAAAGGGCAACATACGTACAATTTATTATTTTTTATTAATAGATGTTCTATTTTTGCTTTGAGTTAGAAGAAAAAAGTTCTATCTGACAGGAGAAATAGTTTTCAATTATGAAAATCGGAAAGAGAATTTATTTCAAAATCACATGATATCTATAAATTTACTGGTTAAAAATATAGCAAGTCATTCTTTCTATTGCTCTTTTTAAATAAAAATTTAAAAATTATAAGTATTTTTTATAATTTATTATCTACTACTTGTAAGATGTGAGGTGACTTTGCTTCACATGCATTTAAGAAAGGATAAGGTTTCTATGAATCAGCGGACACATATGTACGCATGCGGTCCCTCTCTAAAATACATTTTAAAGGCAGCTTTTTTATTCAAATTAGGGATTCATGATCTAAGGCAATGTGATGATGAATATGAACATTTTTTAAAAAAAAAATTAAAAATTTTGAATTTTTAAATCGTGCTCTTTTATGGGGAGTTTTCTGCACCATTCATGGGTATTTTCGTCCAAGGTATTTTTACACAAAGTCCATCTTTAATATTAAAAATGAACGTTTTTGGGTTGCACAGATGGTATTTAGTTTCGGTATATGCAATTTTGTGGAAACAATTTACGACTTTTCAAATTTAAAATTTATTATGTATGACTCTACGTGGATCTTAAAGAAAGGGAAAAGATATATGGACCACATATATTACGCTCACACAGGAGCATATTATATAACTACTCCATTTGGCGGAAAGAGCGACTTTGCATGCAAATGCGAAATCTTAAAATCTATGTAAGTAATTGTTTTTGAGGAAAAAACTTCAGTGTGCATTCTTTCATAGAGGACGTCGTATATTATGTTCCTAGGGAGCATATACTTTATATATACTCCCTCGGGCAAAAGACTTGCTTTATCTATATATTTATTGTTTTTGAGGAAAAGCTTTAGTGTGCATTCTTTCATAGAGGACTACATATATTATGCTCCTAAGGAGCATACTTTGCATGCTCCCTCAGGCAAAAGACCTATTTTAAAGGCGTATTTATCACTTTTTATTGCCTTAGTCAGTGGTATAAATTCATATTATTTCCTAATATTTATTTCAACAATTATAAATTTCAAAAGGTTGATTTTTCAAAATTATTAGGAATATTTTTTTGTGAGTATAAATTTTAACACTTAGGGTCTTGAAATTTTGTTATTAAATATAATAAATATATAATTATTTTATAGATGAATAATAACATTAATTATTAGACAAATTTAGATTTAAGTTATCGAAATTTTAAATAATAAAGTGAGTACATAGTATTTTTATTTAATAAGAGCTTTAATGTTACTTAAAATTGTAACTACAAACAACAAAATATAATTATGTAATGTCGTTAATTAATAAACAGACAAAGTTAACCCCAAGGCATCAAGGTACCACCCCCATCAATCCAACATGGAAAACTTCGACTAGATGGGACGATTCCCTCAGGCTCAATGTCAATTGAATGACCAAAATACCCCTAACAATTTGGGAGTCACTCACAAAGGCTCTGACTTCATTGGCAAAGGTGCCAAAATTCAAACCTCCCGACCAACCTTGATCAGAAATAGATAGATGCCGGACACGCGGATCAAATGGATAGATGCCGGACCTCTCGAATGACGAAATTATTGGCCTAAGTCAGATAGGGTTTTAGCGATACCTATTTGGGGTAGATGACCTATTGTGTCCATCACCGCCAACGTTAAACTGCTCGGTCGGCTCCTTGGTCGCATGAGCTTAAACTATGAACCACCTCTATTTTTTTAACATTTTTCTTTAAAAAATCCCACTT